GGGCGGTGTCTTAGGCGGAGGCTTCTTGGTAGCAGGTGCGGGCGGTGCAGCTGGGCAGGCGGCCGTTTCACTCCTTCCAGACGTCGGGAATCCTCTGTGCCCACCTCCGTCACTCCTAGCCTGGCTTTTGTTGAATGGGGGGATCCCTGAAGTGACACCTCCCGTCTCCCCTCCTCCCGCGAAAGAGCGAGGGGGAATGAAGATCCCCCTTTCTCTTGGTGGGGATACTGAGACCGCGGGTGGGCAGGAAGGAGGGCTGGGGGAGGAGGGGCCCCAGTGTTTTAGGCTTAAATAAACAAAAAAGATACACAAAATCTAGAGGTTTGTTATTTTCTCAGAAGCCCTCCCAGTCTTTGGGCCTTCAGGTGGCTCCCCTCAGTTGCGAAGGGAGGGCTTGGGTACGTGGTGGATGCCAGCAGTGTGACCAGGGCGGGTTTAGGGGGCACAGGTGGCAGTTCTGCCTCCCCTCTCACCTGGGGCAGGTGGGCGAGTTACTTAACTTGTCCCGAGTCTCCCTGTTCTTATCCGGAACGTGGCCTGAGGGTTGGATCTGCTTCGGTTCCCTGGCCCAGCACACATTCGGTATCCAAGTCCAGGACACTGTTTGGTGCAAGTGAGATGTGACAATTCTGCCTGACAAGGTGCCGGGCTGGCTGGTAGGCAGATCTTCCCACCGAGTGGAGCTTAGAGTGCTAGATTTAAGTCGATTCCAGGGTCAGCTTGGGATCCCGTGGGTGTGGATGCCGAAGCCTAGAGGTGGGAGGCCTTGGTCTAAAGTCTGGAGAGGCTGTGTGGTCGCATCAGGGACAATCCTGACCCAACAGATCGGTGTCCGGGGATGAATGTGAAGGCACCCAGCAGGGCAGGAGGGCAGAGACCTTCCCTCCCCTCTGCCACCTCCCAGCCCCGGAAATGGGAGCTTTCCTCACCGGAGGGAGATTTCTCTTGAAACCACCCCCTCTGGCCTCACCTCCCGGAAATGGGCAGAGATCTGGCAGAGCGTGAGAAGTTTACCTGTTCGGGGATCTGCCAGGCGGAAAGAAAAAAAAAGTACCGTTAAAGAGAACAGACAAGTTAAAGTAGCAAAGATAGATTTTTGAAAAACAAAACAAAAACCTGTTGCAATAGAGGAAGAGAGACTCAGTATAGAACTGGGCCTGATTCCCAGTTTATACCAGTAACAAGGGGGGATTTACAGCTGAGGAGCAAAGGGGTAGGGCATTGGTGGATGGAAAATGACGAAGAGGAGACATCAAGTCTGGGGGGATTCTGGCTGAAGGCAGGCCAGGGTGATCAGATCTCACCTGGCAGGGGCAGTGGGGTTCTGGAGGTTGACCAGATATCAAGGGTGAGGAATTCTCATTAAACTGACTTAGCAGGTTTCTTGCTAAAACTGGATCCTACAGGAAGCACAGGCCTGGACCTTGTTGGGGAGAGGGTTCAGGGGATCCAGATTAAAGTCTGATCATGCAAAGAGTCTTTGTCAGTTCCCTACTTGTTCAAGGGAAGAAGAGGCATTCTTTTTTTAAATATGTTTTTATTGATTTCAGAGAGAGGAAGGGAGAGGGAGAGAGAGAGAAACATCAATGATGAGAGAGTCCTTGATAGGCTGCCTCCTGCACGCCCCCTACTGGGGGGATTGAGATTGCAACCCCGGCGTGGGCCCTGACCCAGAATCAAACCGTGACCTCCTGGTTCATGGGTCCACACTCAACCACTGAGCCATGCCAGCCAGGCGAGGCATTCTTTTTTTGCTCTGAACAATATAAGTCCATTTCTCACTTGGTTGCCTTTATTCCTTTAGAACCAGCTGAACCATCTGTTGAGACTTGGTGACAGTGGATAATTGCTGTATTGTGCAACCCATAGGACATTTAATGAGAGGGATACTTTGAAGATAAATGGAAAGAACAAGATTAAAGGCTGAATTGGCCTGTGTACCCAACTTTGTAGATCTTCAAGGATAGACCAGAAGAAATCCATGACTTATCGTCCTTCCTCAGTGGTGTGAGCGAGATGGTGGTGATAACACACCTTTCTCTGTTCACCTCTGGAACCATCCTGGTTACGGCAAAGACGTCAGGTAGGTTGCAGGAGACAAAGGTACAGCAGTGGCTTCCGATCACTATGGGAGTGCCCCCTTCTGCAGCCAGGGTCACATGAAGGGCGATGCCATCATGGAGAATAGCAAGCTGGGTTTCTCATGGTTGTCGAGACACCAATTCAAGGCCCCAGTGGTTAACCGGGGGCAAAGTGAGTTGCAAGGTGAATTGCTTAAGCAATGAGTAAGGTTGTCTTCCTTTCTGTGATTTCAATTTCCATGGTTTCAGTTACCCGCGGTCAATCATGATCTGAAAGCATTAAGTGGAAAATTCCAGGGACAAACAACGCATACATTTTAAATTGCAGTCGTTCTGAGTAGTGTGATAAAATCTCGTGCGGTCCTGCTCTGTCTTGCTCGGAATGTGAATCATCCCTTTGCCCAGCATCACCACGATGTACACGCGACCTGATCATTAGACACTTAATAGAATATTTCACTTGACAGATGAATAAGTTGTCCTCATGGGCCTTCCTGTGACAACTTAAGAAAGTGGTCCCTTACGTGGAGATAGGGGCGAACATCTGAGAATCCTAAGAGCAGTGGGTAGCCATGGTAAGTCCAACTCTTCCCCGTGGTTTAGCCTGTTCCGTTTTGAGGGTGCTGTTGGCTTTCTGTGGCATCTGATGACTGAGGACAGTAAGGGCAGTGTTGACTTTGACTAATGTGTTGCCTTTTTGATTTCCTGTATAATTTTCCCAATGAAACGTGATCCTGTCACTAGAGACGGCAGAGGGCGATAAATTCAGTCGCGTGCGGCGATTTGACGTTTGGCAGGGCTTGGGATTCTAGAAGTTTATGTTGGTCTGTAATGGAATATCCAGCCTGGAGGTCCCCTTCTTCCTCCAGGAGGTTAGGGTCATTGACATGAAGAGTAAGGTCCACTCGGGAGAGGGGGTTTTCTGATCAGGCCAGCCTAGGACAGAGTAATGATCTGTACCAGTTAATAACTGATTGTACTAGTTAATGGTACAATCATGGGGCGTCCCATCAGTGGGTAAAGGAAGGCAGGGTTAACATTATGACAGTGATGTATGGCGATGGGAGAGGGAGAGAGGAGTAAGATTTCATAGGAGGTAAGTCGAGACGCAGAAAAGTGCTATATATTTTATTAAGCGATGAGGTCTGCGTAGCCTGAGGAACGTGAATGTCAAGCGAATGACGGAATACTAAATCAGAGGTAGCTTGGACAAGTCTGGTGGTTGCAGCCGTGGGTCACAGGGGGATATGCCTTGGCTACTGGGTCGAAGGCCAAACTATAATATCCCGGGCGTCTTTGGTGTCCATTATGTTTCTAGGATAGCATGCCAAG